CTAGTGTGTGTGTGTCTAGTGTGTGTGTCTAGTGTGTGTGTCTAGTGTGTGTGTGTCTAGTGTGTGTGTGTCTAGTGTGTGTGTCTAGTGTGTGTGTGTGTGTATCTAGTGTGTGTGTGTCTAGTGTGTGTGTGTCTAGTGTGTGTGTCTAGTGTGTGTGTCTAGTGTGTGTGTGTCTAGTGTGTGTGTCTAGTGTGTGTGTGTGTCTAGTGTGTGTGTGTCTAGTGTGTGTGTGTCTAGTGTGTGTGTGTCTAGTGTGTGTGTGTCTAGTGTGTGTGTGTGTCTAGTGTGTGTGTGTCTAGTGTGTGTGTGTCTAGTGTGTGTGTCTAGTGTGTGTGTCTAGTGTGTGTGTGTGTCTAGTGTGTGTGTGTCTAGTGTGTGTGTGTCTAGTGTGTGGGTGTCTAGTGTGTGTGTGTCTAGTGTGTGTGTGTCTAGTGTGTGTGTGTGTGTCTAGTGTGTGTCTAGTGTGTGTGTGTCTAGTGTGTGTGTGTCTAGTGTGTGTGTCTAGTGTGTGTGTCTAGTGTGTGTGTCTAGTGTGTGTGTGTGTCTAGTGTGTGTGTGTGTGTATCTAGTGTGTGTGTCTAGTGTGTGTGTGTCTAGTGTGTGTGTGTCTAGTGTGTGTGTCTAGTGTGTGTGTCTAGTGTGTGTGTGTCTAGTGTGTGTGTCTAGTGTGTGTGTGTGTGTCTAGTGTGTGTGTGTCTAGTGTGTGTGTGTCTAGTGTGTGTGTGTCTAGTGTGTGTGTGTCTAGTGTGTGTGTGTGTCTAGTGTGTGTGTGTCTAGTGTGTGTGTCTAGTGTGTGTGTGTGTCTAGTGTGTGTGTGTCTAGTGTGTGTGTGTCTAGTGTGTGTGTGTCTAGTGTGTGGGTGTCTAGTGTGTGTGTCTAGTGTGTGTGTGTCTAGTGTGTGTGTCTAGTGTGTGTGTGTCTAGTGTGTGTGTCTAGTGTGTGTGTCTAGTGTGTGTGTCTAGTGTGTGTGTCTAGTGTGGGGGTGTCTCGTGTGTGTGTGTCTAGTGTGTGTGTGTGTCTAGTGTGTGTGTGTGTCTAGTGTGTGTGTGTCTAGTGTGTGTGTGTCTAGTGTGTGTGTGTCTAGTGTGTGTGTGTGTCTAGTGTGGGGGTGTCTCGTGTGTGTGTTTAGTGTGTGTGTGTGTTTAGTGTGTGTGTGTCTAGTGTGTGTGTGTCTAGTGTGTGTGTGTGTCTAGTGTGTGTGTGTGTCTAGTGTGTGTGTGTGTCTAGTGTGTGTGTGTCTAGTGTGTGTGTGTGTCTAGTGTGTGTGTGTCTAGTGTGTGTGTGTCTAGTGTGTGTGTGTCTAGTGTGTGTGTGTCTAGTGTGTGTGTGTGTCTAGTGTGTGTGTGTCTAGTGTGTGTGTGTCTAGTGTGTGTGTGTCTCGGCAATGACCAGGCCCCTACCGTTGACTCGGCAACTGACCGGTCCCACTAATTATCCCATCTAATCAGGATTTCCGCCAGTCCACAAGCTGTGTCGGTGCTGCTCACGTCAAAACCGTGGGCCCCACGCTTGACGTCAATGCAGCGGGCCACGCGGAGTCTCGGTGACGGGACGCCTACCCGCGTTGTTGTCGAGTTGTTGTCGAGTTGTTTATCGCCGCTGGGCGGCCTGAGCCCACGGCCACTGCACGTGGCCGTCGGCGGACCGACGGGGGGGCCCACTTCCCCCTTGCCCGTAGGAGGCACCGCTGTCCATTCCGCGAAGGGAGGTAACCGGGTTGGGGGTGTAACGTGGGGAGGAGGTAACGGGGGGGAGGTAACGTGGAGAGGTAACGGGGAGGAGGTCACGTGGGGAGGTAACGGAGTAACGGGGAGGAGGTATTGGGAGAGGTCACAATCAGAATATTTATACCGGAGGTACCCGATGAGCTATGAGGCTCTTTTTTTTAACAGATGTTCAGTAAGGTCGGGTAACGTGGGGAGGTAACGTGGGGAGGTAACGTGGGGAGGTAACGGGGGGAGGTAACGTGGGGAGGTAACGGGAGGAGGTAACGGGGGGAGGTAACGGGGGGAGGTAACGTGGGGAGGTAACGTGGGGAGGTAACGTGGGGAGGTAACGTGGGGAGGTAACGTGGGGAGGTAACGGGGAGGTAACGGGGGGAGGTAACGGGCGGAGGTAACGTGGGGAGGTAACGGGGGAGGTAACGTGGGGAGGTAACGGGGAGGTGTTAACACGGTTTGCGGTGGCAATAATAGCCCCGTCTCTGTTCTCAATAACCGGGTCTGGGACGGGGTCGGGGTCACATCAACAACACGTTGATTGAATATCAACGTCAACCACAACAACCGGCTCCAATCGGGTACCGGGGCTGTCACGCGGAGCCCACAGCGACCCCCACCCTCAGTGCCGGAATATCCTCGTAGCAAAAGTCGCTCCATGTGTAGTAGCAGCTACTACTACACGTGTAGTAGTAGTAGTAGCTACTACTACTACTACACGTGTAGTAGTAGCAGCTACTTCTACACGTGTAGTAGTAGCTACTACTACTACACGTGTAGTAGCTACTATACATGTGTAGTAGCTACTACTACTACACGTGTAGTAGTAGCTACTACTACTACACGTGTAGTAGTAGCTACTACTACTACACGTGTAGTAGCTACTATACATGTGTAGTAGCTACTACTACTACACGTGTAGTAGTAGCTACTACTACTACTACACGTGTAGTAGCTACTACTACTACTACACGTGTAGTAGCTACTACTACTACTACACGTGTAGTAGCTACTACTACACGTGTAGTAGTAGCTGCTACTACTACACGTGTAGTAGTAGCTGCTACTACACATGCATAGTAGCTACTACTACTACACGTGTAGTAGTAGTAGCTACTACACGTGTAGTAGCTACTATACATGTGTAGTAGCTACTACTACTACACGTGTAGTAGTAGTAGCTACTACACATGCATAGTAGCTACTAATACACGTGTAGTAGCTATGGGCCCCGCACTTTCAAGGGCTCCGCGCGAAATGCTTTCAAGCTATCAATTCGCGGTTCAGTGATTCTGCACTTGCTCTATTACTATAGTACCATACCGCCTTCGACTTTTACGAACAACTGGACGTTTAAGATATATTCTTGGTTCTTTCGGTAAAGTCACGTGGAAGGGAAACAATAAAATAATAAAAATATAAAACAATAAAATTCTCACGACGTTTCGACTGCAACACAAGCAATCATCATCAGGTGTTTAAGGTTAGCGATTTGTCGTGTTCTCTGGCTGTATAGCAAATGAAAAAATACCTTGTTACAATTTTGTGTTTTAATATTTAGGTGTTTTTATTTAGGGCCCCTTTATAACGTCACATGCTACAGGCCCCGCCCTAGCTGAATCCTGGCACTGCCTCTCCTCTGGTGGTGCAAGATAATCGAGTTTCCAGCATGGAGCTGGGTGAACAGATCTCTTACTGCAGTTGGCAGTGACCCCCATTGGGTTAATTGAGACGCTGGCTTAGCAGGGAGAGCTGGGTTGTTGTAAGAGACCTGAGTTTGACAGCAGACTACGTGACCTCCGATGACAGCGGATGTATCTGAGTGTATGGGCACATGAGTTTGGATGGGATCAGGGTTTAAAACGAAAACTATTTTTTATTTTACCGGGTAAGGCCCACTGAGCCATACAGCTCTTGTTCAGACAGTGGCTTATCATGTGGGAATGTATTGCGGCCAAATACTCTTAAACGCGCGTTTCTAAATGTGGAGGGGAAAACCAGAGGACCCGGAGAAAAATCCACGCGACCACGGGGAGAACGACGCAAACTTCAAACATAGGCATCAGGGTCAGGATCGAACCCAAGACCTCTTGCGTGTCAGGCGAGGCAGTTGACATCTTGCCACCGCGAATGCCAGCAGGTAAGACGAGGGACCTGGGTTTAAACGGCAGTGGGTAGGACAAGGCGGATGAGTCTACGGGGACCCTGGGATGATCAAGAGCTTGGTCGAGAGGGAGACCTGAGCTGATGGGGACCTGGGTTTCCACGGGATCTTGGCTTTAATGGTGACCTACGATAACGGAGATGCATCTGTGGCAGGCGTCCGCAACCAGAATAACAAGAGGAGGCATTTTAATCATGGGGGGAAAAAAAAAACCGGCTCGGTATGTCGAGAGCCGCCGCTGCACTGCGGCGGATCCACGGGACGGCGGGCGGTCCCCGACGTTATAGCGTCGTCGCGAAGCAGCGTCCCTTAGAGGCTCCGGAGACGCACGTGTTGTGGTGGGGCCGAGGCTCGGTGAGGCGCGGGAATGACGCGGGGACCTCGGCTGATGGGGAGCCCCCCGGGCGTGAGCGGTGGGCGGCACCTCGGTGACCCTGAGGGCCGACGGCGCTCCTCAAGGACAGCGCGCTCGCACGTCCTTGACGAGGACGCGCGCGAGCGTCGTGTGTGTGTGTCAGTGTGTGTGTGTGTCAGTGTGTGTGTGTGTGTCAGTGTGTGTGTGTGTCAGTGTGTGTGTGTCAGTGTGTGTGTGTCAGTGTGTGTGTGTCAGTGTGTGTGTGTGTCAGTGTGTGTGTGTGTCAGTGTGTGTGTGTGTGTGTCAGTGTGTGTGTGTGTGTGTCAGTGTGTGTGTGTCAGTGTGTGTGTGTCAGTGTGTCGGTGTGTGTGTGTCGGTGTGTGTGTGTCGGTGTGTGTGTGTCGGTGTGTGTGTGTCAGTGTGTGTGTGTCAGTGTGTGTGTGTCAGTGTGTGTCAGTGTGTGTGTGCCGCTATTATTGTGGGGAGCGGTGGTGTAGCGGTTAGCGCTACGCTGCGCTATGAACCCGGCGACCCGGGTTCGATTCCCGCTCACGGCCAACACCAGTGACGATTATCTGTACCGGTCCCGGGCCTCCCCTAGGTCGACTCAGCCTCAATTGAGTACCTGGTGCGATGCGTAAATATCGCCACTCGGGAGACAAAGGCACGGTCCTTGCCACACCGCCCCCTCGTGTGCATTGCAAGTCAGGTAAAGGCTATATGGGGGATCTTTGTCTTTATCTTTGTGTGCGTCGCTCAGATCTCACGGCTACTGAGGGGTGCCCAGCAGCGAGCAGGGGCGGCACCCATCCGCTGGCAACATGCGTCCGGCAAGGTGAGCAGCTCGCACTGCCCTCACCCGATCACTCGCCACTTGCTCCCGACGCTCACCACCCCCCCTGACACTCGCTGTCCCTCCCCCTAGCACGCACCACCACCCCCCCTGACACTCGCCATCTCCCCCTAGCACGCACCACCCCCCCTGACACTCGCCACCTCCCCCTAGCACGCACCACCCCCCCTGACACTCGCCACCTCCCCCTAGCACGCACCACCCCCCCTGACACTCGCCACCTCCCTCTAGCACGCACCACCCCCCCTGACACTCGCCACCTCCCTCTAGCACGCACCACCCCCCCTGACACTCGCCACCTCCCTATAGCACGCACCACCCCCCCTGACACTCGCCACCTCCCCCTAGCACGCACCACCCCCCCTGACACTCGCTGTCCCTCCCCACCCTCCCCCGGGTCCCCACAGGTGCCGCTCAGCACCGTCACACTCATCCCGGGCGACGGCATCGGCCCCGAGATCTCCGCCGCCGTCGTAAAGATCTTCGACGCCGCCAGGGTACGGGGTCGCGCCGAGGGGTCGCGCCGAGGGCTCGCCGTGGGGTCGCGCCGAGGGGTCGCCGTGGGGTCGCGCCGTGGGGTCGCGCCGAGGGGTCGCCGAGGGGTTGCCGCGGGGTCACTGAGGGGTCGCGCCGAGGGGTCGCCGAGGGGTCGCCGTGGGGTCACGTCGTGGGGTGGCGCCGAGGGGTCACGCCGTGGGGTGGCGCCGAGGGGTCGCCGAGGGGTCGCCGCGGGGTCGCGGCCCCGGAGAGGTGGAGCGACGCGGCCGTTGCTACAGACCAATACCAATGGTTCGTAGTCATCGATTGCACGTGGCATGGGCGCCGTCGGTCTTCTGGCGCTGCAGGGCGATCATCGTGCAGGAAGGCGCCGCTGTGCTTCACAGACACGGCCTGCGGCGGTTTCACAGTCGGGGGGGGGGGGGGGGGGGCGGTGATGACAATGCGGTGTGATTTTTATAACTTGACAAATTTGGACCGCGCCACCGGGCACACGATGGCCCCCGCTCGTCATGCTCGCCGCGCTCCTCGCCGCTCTCTCCGCCGGCAGGCGCCGATCCAGTGGGAGGAGCGCAACGTCACGGCCATCCTCAGCTCGTCGGGCAAGTGGGTCATCCCCCCGGAGGCCAAGGAGTCGATGGATCGCAACAAGATGGGTTTGAAGGGTGAGAGAGCGACCCCCGCCCTGCGTGCAGAGCGAACACCGTACGACGCGTTACAAGTTGACGTCGTCGTCGTCGTTGTTGTCATCGTTGCAAAATGCGATTCTGCAAATCGGCGGGGAGCCGATCGCGTACGGCGGTCATCGTGGCCGTGACGCGCGGATCCGGCGCGAGAGACGCCGCGGTGCGCTGACGACGCGCCGCCGCAGGGCCCCTGAAGACGCCGGTGGCCGCGGGCCACCCGTCCATGAACCTGCTGCTGCGCAAGACCTTCGACCTGTACGCCAACGTGCGCCCGTGCGTGTCCATTGAGGGCTTCCGCACGCCGTACAACGACGTGGACCTGGTGACGATCCGCGAGAACACGGAGGGCGAGTACAGCGGCATCGAGCACGTGGTGCGCCTGCTCCCGCGCACACACCGCTCTCCACGCACACACCGCACACCGCTCCCCACACACACCGCTCCCCACACACACACCGCTCCCCACACACACACCGCTCCCCACACACACACCGCTCCCCACACACACACCGCTCCCCACACGCACACCGCTCCCCACACACACACCGCTCCCCACACACACCATTCCCCACACACACCGCTCCCCCCACACACACCGCTCCCCACGCGCACACCGCTCCCCACACACACCATTCCCCACACACACCGCTCCCCACACACACCGCTCCCCACGCACACACCGCTCCCCACACACACCGCTCCCCACACACACACCGCTCCCCACGCACACCGCACACCGCTCCCCCCACACACACCGCTCCCCACGCACACCGCACACCGCTCCCCACACACACACCGCTCCCCACGCACACCGCTCCCCACACACACACACCGCTCCCCACACACACCGCTCCCCACACACACACACACCGCTCCCCACACACACACTGCTCTCCGCACACACCGCTCCCCACACACACCGCTCCCCCCGTGCACACCGCTCCCCACACACACCGCTCCCCACACACACACCGCTCCCCACACACACCGCTCCCCCCGTGCACACCGCTCCCCACACACACCGCTCCCCACACACACCGCTCCCCACACACACACCGCTCCCCCCACACACACCGCTCTCCACACACACACCGCTCCCCACACACACCGCTCCCCACACACACCGCTCTCCCCACACACACCGCTCCCCACACACACTGCTCCCCACGCACGCCGCACACCGCTCCACACACACACCGCTCTCCACGCACACCGCTCCCCACACACACCGCTCCCCACACACACACCGCTCTCCACGCACACACCGCACACCGCTCCCCACACACACCGCTCCCCACACACACCGCTCCCCACACACACACACCGCTCCCCACACACACCACTCCACACACACACCACTCCACACACACACCGCTCCCCACACACACCGCTTCCCACACACACACCGCTCCCCACACACACCGCTCCCCACACACACACCGCTCCCCACACACACCACTCCACACACACACCGCTCCCCACACACACACCGCTCCACACACACACCGCTCCCCACACACACACCGCTCCCCACACACACCACTCCACACACGCACACCGCTCCCCACACACACCGCTCCCCACACACACCGCTCCCCACACACACCGCTCCCCACACACACCGCTCCCCACACACACCGCTCCCCACACACACACCGCTCCCCACACACACCGCTCCCCACACACACACCGCTCCCCACACACACCGCTCCCCACACACACATCGCTCCCCACACACACACCGCTCCCCACACACACACCGCTCCCCACACACACACCGCTCCCCACACACACACCGCTCCCCACACACACACCGCTCCCCACACACACACCACTCCCCACACACACCGCTCCTCCCACACACACCGCTCCCCACACACACCGCTCCCCACACACACACCGCTCCCCACACACACCGCTCCCCACACACACACCGCTCCCCACACACACCGCTCCCCACACACACACCGCTCCCCACACACACCGCTCCCCACACACACACCGCTCCCCACACACACCGCTCCCCACACACACACCGCTCCCCACACACACCGCTCTCCACACACACACTGCTCCCCACACACACCGCTCTCCACACACACACTGCTCCCCACACACACCGCTCCCCACACACACACACCGCTCCTCACACACACCGCTCTCCACACACACACTGCTCCCCACACACACCGCTCCCCACACACACACACCGCTCCCCACACACACACCGCTCCCCACACACACACCACTCACCACACACACACACCGCTCCTCACACACACCGCTCCCCACACACACCGCTCCCCACACACACACCACTCCCCACACACACACACCGCTCCCCACACACACACCACTCCCCACACACACACACCGCTCCCCACACACACCGCTCCCCACACACACCGCTCCCCCCACACACACCACTTCCCACACACACCACTTCCCACACACACCACTCCCCATACACACCGCTCCCCACACACACACACCGCTCCCCACACACACACCGCTCCCCACACACACTGCTCCCCACACACACACCGCTCCCCACACACACCGCTCCCCACACACACCGCTCCCCACCCACACACAGACACACACCGCTCCCCACACACACATCGTGTGTGGTTACCGCTGCCGTGCCACCGTGCTGCGTGCGTGGTGCTGGCCACCCCCCCCCCCCCGCCCGTGCGCCGTGCCGGCCTTCACAGGTGCCCCTCGCTAACGGCACTCGCGTCGGCCGTCTGCACGGGCTGCGGCGGCGGCGGCGGCGGGGGGGGGATTTTTTGTCCTTGCGCTCAGATCGTGGACGGCGTCGTGCAGAGCATCAAACTGATCACGGAGCAGGCGAGCCGGCGCGTGGCGGAGTTCGCGTTTGAGTACGCGCGTAGCAACAAGCGCCACACCGTCACCGCCGTTCACAAGGCCAACATCATGTGAGTGTGGTGGCGGCGGCGGCGGCCGCCGGCCAATCACCGCTCCCCTTCCCGCCCCGGACTCGGAGACCCGCGACCGCTCGCGAGCGCGCGAAAGAATGGCGAGCGAAGCGTGCCACGATCTGTCGAGAGTGGAGTCGGATGAGGGGGGAGAGGTGGGAGAGTGCGTGGGTAGAGGGGAGTGAGATGAGGTGGGAGAGCGGGTGGGGTGGATGGGAGTGGAGTGAGATGAGAGGGGAGAGGAGGGAGAGCGGGTGGGGTGGAGGAGAGTGGAGTGAGATGAGGGGGGAGAGGTGGGAGAGCGGGTGGGGTGGATGGGAGTGGAGTGAGATGAGGGGGGAGAGGAGGGAGAGCGGGTGGGGTGGATGGGAGTGGAGTGAGATGAGGGGGGAGAGGAGGGAGAGCGGGTGGGGTGGATGGGAGTGGAGTCGGATGAGAGGGGACTTGCAGCTTTGCTTCAGGCAGAGCGCTGTTGTCCGTGCGGTGACGCTGCGGACGCGCGACCGCAGCGTGTGACCCCGGGGCCGTTGCGTCTGCGTGCGTCTGCGTGCGTGTGCGTGCAGGCGTTTGTCGGACGGCCTCTTCCTGAAGAAGTGCCGCGAGGTCGCCGAGACCTTCAAGGACATCAAGTTCACGGAGATGTACCTGGACACTGTGTGTCTCAACGTGAGTAGTGGTGGGGCTCTCTTCCCCCTGGTCTGCGTGGGTTTCCTCTGGGTTCCCTGGCTCCTTCCCACAGCTCAACCCACACACCCAGTGCAACTGCTATCGGCCAAACCAAATCCCCCCAGTGCTGAAAGAATTGACCTGCAAATCGCTGACTTGGCATCGCACAGAGCAGCAACAGCAGCAGCAGCGGCGTCGTCCCCCGCTGCGGAAACTTGGCAGGACCCTCCTAAAAAAAAAAGTCTTGAGACTCGGCGATGATTTCTTGGGTAAACGAGCAGAACAACAATAACAACAACAACATCAACAACAACAACAATAATAACGTACAGCGCACGACCTTGCCGTGTGCCGTCCGCTGCCGGGGCGGCTGTAACCGGCGTGATGCGTTGGCCGTCCACAGATGGTGCAGGACCCCACGCACTTCGACGTGCTGGTCATGCCCAACCTGTACGGGGACATCCTGAGGTGCGGCCTCCACGTGCGCACACCGCACCGCGGCACACCGCACCGCGGCACACCGCACCACGGCACACCGCACCACGGCACACCGCACCGCGGCACACCGCACCGCGGCACACCGCACCACGGCACACCGCACCGCGGCACACTGTGGCGCACCACTCCACGTGATGCTTTCAGTGCGTCACACAGCGCCGTGTGCCACAACGCAACATCGCACCACCCACTGTAACGCACGGTGCCGTGTCCCCACCGTGTCCCCCCCCCCCCCCCCCCCCACGTGGTTGTGAGTGCCACCCACTGACCCCCCCCCCCCTCGCCCCCCCGCCGTTGCAGTGACCTGTGCGCGGGTCTCATCGGGGGCCTCGGGGTCACTCCCAGCGGCAACATCGGCACCAACGGCGTTGCCATCTTCGAGTCGGTGAGTGTGGGGCCATCCGTACGACCGCCGCCGCCGCAGCACCACACCGTGCGTGTATGCTGAACTTACTTTGCACGGTACGTAGCAGACCGTGGTCATCGCGCGTGCGGGTGCTTGTCACCACGGCACGGCCACACCACCACCACCGTCCGGTAATTAACGACGACGGTCAACGCCGACGACGATAATAACGATCGCCTCCGCCCGCAGGTGCACGGCACGGCACCCGACATCGCCGGCAAGGACCTGGCGAACCCCACGGCGCTGCTGCTGAGCGCCGTGATGATGCTGCGCCACATGGGCCACACGGGCTACGCGCAGCGCATCGAGGCGGCCTGCTACGGCACCATCAAGGACGGCAAGGTGCGGGCGGCGGCGATGGCGGCGGGTTGCGCTCGGCAGGCCTTCCGCCCCCTCGCAGAAGGCCTCGCCTCTTGTTGTGCACTTGATGATCGCGACGGTGATGGGACCGCGTCCCATCACCGAGGGGCGGCTTTCGCGAGCAACGTTACGGTTCGTTATCGATTATTATCCGGCGGTCCCAGGCCGATCCGGCGAAACAGGCAAAGCCGCTCCAAAAGGCTGTAACCGGTCCGGCGATTGCCACCATGTGCATGACAAAAAAAGTAGCTGTGCATGACTTCGGGTGTTAAATATTGTGTACGGTACGTTATTCACTACATACAATAACTTAAACAATGAAAACACTGCAGGTGTATATAAACATCACCCCATGCAGAGTCTTCGAGATTGGAGTGGTAAGTACAGCACGGTAAATACGGTAACTTTTTTAAAGTATAGATATTTATTTTTCGTCTTTGCATATTTATTTATGTCAATTTAATTGAGTAAATAAATGGTAAAAACATATAACAACACCTTAAAAAAACATCTCATGCAAAAGTGTGCAAAAATAAGCTATTTAAAATAATGATTTGAGTGGTGATTATCCGGCGTTCAAAAAATCTGGCACTACCCCCGAAGCCGCTGGATCATCTGATGTCCTGTCCGTTGATAACAATCGATGATCTCCTGTATTCACAATCGAGGGGTTTTTCTTGGGTTGGATCGCATAAATGTAAAGGTGTCGTTAACCCACCGCCACTCGACACGGCCAACTAGTAAGGTTTGTCACGTAAACAGAACGTGGCCAATTCGTCACTAGTACAGCGCACCGGTTGTGTGTTCGAGAGCCAAGCCACAACAGTTACAATCCGAGTACGACGTTTCGACAGTAATTACAACTAGCTTCATCAGGCGACATGAAACATTTAAGGAACGAAACAGGAGGACTCCTCCACAAATCTGTGTCGGGTGGTGGCAGGTTGAACGACACATTTATATACTTACGTGAACTAACCCCAAAAACAACCTGTATTATGGATGATGTTGGCCACGAAAGCCTCCTACTACGTGTTAAACTACAAACAAACTATTGTTTCCCTTCAACGTGACTTTACCGAAAGAGCTAAGAATATGAATTACTGCAGTCACGAAAGCTTTAAATCAAAATTTAAACCAACAGCAATTACAATTTGATTGCGACGGTTCGCCCGTGATTGCAACTACGCCTTGCGCGAGCTAGGGCGGGGGGGGGGTGTGCGGGGGAGCAAAGCTCTATACAGATGGAAACAGATGGCAACTAGTCCACACTTCGCCGTACCGCCTTCTCCCGGCGAGCCCCAGGGTATGGCTCTCCCCCTCGATGCCCATGGGGCGGGTTCCCCACCGTTTGCGTGCAATCCGCCAACCCTTGCCTCCGCCCTGCGAGACCACAGGCCACGTGCGGTCTAGCACGGTGGAGATGAGAGGGGGGGAGGGAGGAGAGTGAGATGAGAGAGGGAGAGGGGGGAGAGTGAGATGAGAGGGGGGGAGGGGGGAGAGTGAGATGAGAGGGGAGAGAGAGGAGAGTGAGATGAGAGGGAGGAGAGTGAGATGAGAGAGGGAGAGGGGGGAGAGTGAGATGAGAGGGGAGAGAGGGGAGAGAGAGGAGAGTGAGATGAGAGGGGGAGAGGGGGGAGAGTGAGATGAGAGGGGGAGAGAGAGGAGGGTGAGATGAGAGGGGGAGAGGGGGGAGAGTGAGATGAGAGGGGGAGAGGGAGGAGAGTGAGATGAGAGGGGGAGAGTGAGATGAGAGGGGGAGAGGGAGGAGAGTGAGATGAGAGGGGGGAGAGGGAGGAGAGTGAGATGAGAGAGGGAGAGGGGGGAGAGTGAGATGAGAGGGGAGAGAGGGGAGAGAGAGGAGAGTGAGATGAGAGGGGGAGAGGGGGGAGAGTGAGATGAGAGGGGGAGAGAGAGGAGAGTGAGATGAGAGGGGAGAGAGAGGAGAGTGAGATGAGAGGGGGAGAGGGGGGAGAGTGAGATGAGAGGGGGAGAGAGAGGAGAGTGAGATGAGAGGGGGAGAGGGGGGAGAGTGAGATGAGAGGGGGAGAGAGAGGAGAGTGAGATGAGAGGGGAGAGAGAGGAGAGTGAGATGAGAGGGGGAGAGGGGGGAGAGTGAGATGAGAGGGGGAGAGGGAGGAGAGTGAGATGAGAGGGGGAGAGTGAGATGAGAGGGGAGAGAGAGGAGAGTGAGATGAGAGGGGGAGAGGGGGGAGAGTGAGATGAGAGGGGGGAGAGGGAGGAGAGTGAGATGAGAGGGGGAGAGTGAGATGAGAGGGGGAGAGGGAGGAGAGTGAGATGAGAGGGGGGAGAGGGAGGAGAGTGAGATGAGAGAGGGAGAGGGGGGAGAGTGAGATGAGAGGGGAGAGAGGGGAGAGAGAGGAGAGTGAGATGAGAGGGGGAGAGGGGGGAGAGTGAGATGAGAGGGGGAGAGAGAGGAGAGTGAGATGAGAGGGGAGAGAGAGGAGAGTGAGATGAGAGGGGGAGAGGGGGGAGAGTGAGATGAGAGGGGGAGAGAGAGGAGAGTGAGATGAGAGGGGAGAGAGAGGAGAGTGAGATGAGAGGGGGAGAGGGGGGAGAGTGAGATGAGAGGGGGAGAGGGAGGAGAGTGAGATGAGAGGGGGAGAGTGAGATGAGAGGGGGAGAGAGAGGAGAGTGAGATGAGAGGGGGAGAGGGGGGAGAGTGAGATGAGAGGGGGAGAGGGGGGAGAGTGAGGAGAGAGGGGAGTGAGATGAGAGAGGGGGGGAGGGGGGAGAGTGAGATGAGAGGGGGAGAGGGAGGAGAGTGAGATGAGAGGGGGGAGAGGGAGGAGAGTGAGATGAGAGAGGGAGATGGGGGAGAGTGAGATGAGAGGGGAGAGAGAGGAGAGTGAGATGAGAGGGGGAGAGGGGGGAGTGTGAGATGAGAGGGGGAGAGAGAGGAGAGTGAGATGAGAGGGGAGAGAGAGAGGAGAGTGAGATGAGAGGGGGAGAGGGGGGAGAGTGAGATGAGAGGGGGAGAGGGAGGAGAGTGAGATGAGAGGGGGAGAGGGAGGAGAGTGAGATGAGAGGGGGAGAGTGAGATGAGAGGGGGTGAGGGAGGAGAGTGAGATGAGAGGGTGGAGAGGGAGGAGAGTGAGATGAGAGAGGGAGAGGGGGGAGAGTGAGATGAGAGGGGAGAGAAGGGAGAGAGAGGAGAGTGAGATGAGAGGGGGAGAGGGGGGAGAGTGAGATGAGAGGGGGAGAGAGAGGAGAGTGAGATGAGAGGGGAGAGAGAGGAGAGTGAGATGAGAGGGGGGAGAGTGAGATGAGAGGGGGAGAGGGAGGAGAGTGAGATGAGAGGGGGAGAGGGGGGAGAGTGAGATGAGAGGGGGAGAGAGAGGAGAGTGAGATGAGAGGGGAGAGAGAGATGAGAGGGGGAGAGGGGGGAGAGTGAGATGAGAGGGGGAGAGGGAGGAGAGTGAGATGAGAGGGGAGAGGGGGGAGAGTGAGATGAGAGGGGGAGAGGGGGGAGAGTGAGATGAGAGGGGGAGAGAGAGGAGAGTGAGATGAGAGGGGGAGAGGGGGGAGAGTGAGATGAGAGGGGAGAGAGAGGAGAGTGAGATGAGAGGGAGAGAGAGGAGAGTGAGATGAGAGGGGCAGAGAGAGGAGTGAGATGAGAGTGGGAGAGGGGGGAGAGTGAGATGAGAGGGAAGAGAGAGGAGAGTGAGATGAGAGGGAGAGAGGGGGGAGAGTGAGATGAGAGGGGAGAGAGAGGAGAGTGAGATGAGAGGGGGAGGGGGGGGAGTGAGATGAGAGGGGAGAGTGAGATGAGAGGGGAAGAGAGAGGAGAGTGAGATGAGAGGGGGGAGAGAGAGGAGAGTGGGATGAGAGGGGGGAGAGAGAGGAGAGTGAGATGAGAGGGGAGAGGAGAGTGAGATGAGAGGGGAGAGAGAGGAGAGTGAGATGAGAGGGGAGAGCGGGGAGAGTGAGATGAGAGGGGAGAGAGAGGAGAGTGAGATGAGAGGGGGAGAGAGAGGAGAGTGAGATGAGAGGGGGAGAGGGAGGAGAGTGAGATGAGAGGGGGAGAGGGGGGAGAGTGAGATGAGAGGGGGAGAGAGAGGAGAGTGAGATGAGAGGGGAGAGAGAGGAGAGTGAGATGAGAGGGGGAGAGGGGGAAGAGTGAGATGAGAGGGGGAGAGGGAGGAGAGTGAGATGAGAGGGGGAGAGTGAGATGAGAGGGGGAGAGAGAGGAGAGTGAGATGAGAGGGGGAGAGGGGGGAGAGTGAGATGAGAGGGGGAGAGGGGGGAGAGTGAGATGAGAGGGGGAGAGAGAGGAGAGTGAGATGAGAGGGGGAGAGGGGGGAGAGTGAGATGAGAGGGGAGAGAGAGGAGAGTGAGATGAGAGGGAGAGAGAGGAGAGTGAGATGAGAGGGGCAGAGAGAGGAGTGAGATGAGAGAGGGAGAGGGGGGAGAGTGAGATGAGAGGGAAGAGAGAGGAGAGTGAGATGAGAGGGAGAGAGGGGGGAGAGTGAGATGAGAGAGGAGAGTGAGATGAGAGGGGGAGAGGGGGGAGTGAGATGAGAGGGGAGAGTGAGATGAGAGGGGAAGAGAGAGGAGAGTGAGATGAGAGGGGGGAGAGAGAGGAGAGTGGGATGAGAGGAGGGAGAGAGAGTGAGATGAGAGGGGAGAGGAAAGTGAGATGAGAGGGGAGAGAGAGGAGAGTGAGATGAGAGGGGAGAGAGGAGAGTGAGATGAGAGGGGAGAGAGAGGAGAGTGAGATGAGAGGGGGAGAGGGGGGAGAGGCAAGTCCCCCAAAGGAAGCGCGCTCTCGATTCCGTTGATTTGTAAAACCCGGACTGGTTTGCGGAAGGATCGGACGGTTCTGCACTGTTACCCCCCCCCGCCCCCCACGCCCCTCGCCGCGCGTCCCGTGCCCCAGGTGCTCACGGGAGACCTGGGAGGGAAGGCCAAGTGTTCCGAGTTCACGGCCCGAGATCTGCAGCCGCGTCAAGGACATGGAAGTAACGTCGGCCTCGCCGCCGCTGCCGCCGCCACGTTCCCACCGCGCGTGGAGGGCCCCGAGTTTCCTGCATGCCCCATGGTTACTGACAAGGCCGGCCGGCCGGCCGGCCGCCGCCACCAAAGCTGAGGAGGAGGAGAGCTGGCCTGGGCTGTGCCGGCGGTGGTCCAGGGTTGTACCGGTGGTTGCCGATCGTCTACTACTCTTTGCATTTCCGGCAATTGTTTATTTTCGCGCACACACGTACACACACGTGCATGCACATGCACACACATGTACGCACATGTACGCACACACGTGTGAACGCACGCATACACACGTGCAGACGCACGCATACACACGTGCAGACGCACGTGCAGACAGACGCACGTGCAGACAGACGCACGTGCAGACGCACGTGCAGACGCACGTGCAGACGCACGTGCAGACGCACGTGCAGACGCACGTGCAGACGCACGTGCAGACGCACGTCCAGACGCACGTGCAGACGCACGTGCAGACGCACGTGCAGACGCACGTGCAGACAGACGCACGCACGCACACCGAGCAGGTGCTCGTCCGTCACGTTTCCGGCCTCCCTAAAGGTGGCCGCCACGCGCCGTCGTCGTCTTAAGCAAACTTCCGTTGCGCAAGGGCCACGCTGCTTGCCTGACGCCGTCCTTCCACGCCAATTCCAGAGCCGTTTGAACTTTCGGTCCTCTCCGTTTCAAACGCCGCGCCGTCCGCGCGACGTCGGAATCCTTCGCGTCTGAAACGCGCAATCCGCGTGCCGTGTCGCGCCGGGGTCCAGAGGGAGGGGGAGGCCCCGGGGGCCTTTCCCGTGTCTATCCGCGAGGTCGGGCCCCCCCACGCTCCCGTGGGCACGGAGGCCGCGTCGCGTGAGAAGCGTCGCGTGCGTGGTTGCTCGTAGCTGGCGTGTCGCAGCTCGGTGATGTTGCCAAACTCCGCGAGTTTCGTCTTTGTCGCCGCCGCTGGTGCCGCCGGCGGTGGCGCCGCCGGCGGTGGAGTGGCCTGGACCAGAGCAATCAGCCCCAGCCGCCTCCCCCCCCACCGCCCCCCCCCACCACTACTCCCCCCCCCCCCTCCTCCGCACCATTACTGCCCCCCACTACTCCCCACCCCCACCGTACCGTCGCTTTAATCTGCAAGGGGATAAACGTCACTCGTCCCCTTCCCGTAACGAGACCTCAGTTCATTTCATTTCCGCCGCCATCATTCCACTCCTCGTCGTGCTGTGACGAAAACACGGGGCGAGCGCCGTTTATCCCGGGATCCAGGAGGGAACCTCAACCCAACAACAAAAGGGCACTTTTGTGATATAAAGATGGAATCCCCCCCCCCCAATGGCCCTGAGCAGAGCGTTTGGGGCAAGTGCTGCGAGTGAGCGAGCGAGCGCCTACGTAGGCCGGCACTGTGGCACACGACGGGGTGGGTGGCCAACAACACCCCCAGTGCTGGTGTTTAAATACCGCACCAGGTACTCATTTGAGGCCGAGTCGGCTTAAGGGGAGGGCCCAGGACCGGTTCAAACATTCGCCGCTGTGAGCAATGGTGACGGCCTCCTCCAGTGGTCCGTGCAGTGCCAGGTCTTGGCTCCACTCCCCTCACTCCCTCCCTCACTCCCCTCCTCCCTCCCTCACTCCCCTCCCTCCCTCCCCCTCCCCTCCCTCCCTCTCTCCCCTCCTTCCCCTCCCAAGTCGTTCCACAGCATTCCTCTCGCTCCGTCTCTTGGTTGACGCCCCTAGTGCCGGTGCAGCTTCACGGGTTCAGCTTCGTCCCTAACCGTCTTCCCCCACGTCTTGAGAATGTTTCCCGAAGGCGTTGATTCACGGTTGTAAATCGTTACAGAATCCATGCGTGTGCATGGTCCTCCCCCCCCCTCCCCCCTAACTTATTGAAAAGATCTGTTTATATACAGAGTGCTTCAACAAAAATGTTAACGCTTCTGAGAATTTGCAACAATACCACGTGACACGTGCTGCCACCTCCGGGCTCTGGAGACCACCTGGAGAAGATTCCAGGCCACGTGTTGGCAACGATGGCAAACAAATGGGAGACACTCTTTGACTTTCGGAAGCTATTAACATCACTTTTGTTATCACGTTATATTTTCTATTTAAAAACGATAGTCCCTGCTCTTTGGTTCTATTCGGTAAAGTCACGTATGTAAAAAATAAAACAACAAAAATCACGAAGTTTCGGCCACAACACAAGTGGCCTTCATCAGGTGAAGGGACCGTGCTGTCACGAGGACAGCGTTGGAATGAAATGTGATTTTTGTTTAATTTTTTTTACCAACGTGACTTTACCGAATAGAACCAAAGAGTATGGATCCTTGCAGTCACGAAAGCTTCAAATCTAGAAACGATAGTCCCATGTAAATGTTAACATCTTTTTGAAGCGCCCAGTGTGTGTGTATATATACACACATGTATATGCTTTTTGGGGGGGGGGGGGGTAGGTGGGATGGAGCTCATTTTTAAATGGAACTCTGCGATGATGATGAAGAGTCCACTTGCGACTCTGTGGATCCGGCGAACGGGGTGAAAGCTTGTACGAAGCGCTTGTTTATCGTGGCCGGCCAGCGCGGCTCCCACCCATCGTCGTTTGCTGCTGCTAAAAGTAATAAGCACATAATAAAGAGTCACGCGCGCTTCCCGCCTGCGTTTCTGTACGTGCGCGGCCGCGAGGCCGGCGTCCCGGGTGTCTGGTTGGGACACGGCTCACCGACGTGCCGACGTGCCGCGTGGCGGTGGAGTTGCCCAGATCGAGGGAAGGAACGTGCGCGTGCACGCGGTTCGATTCGGTTCCCGAAGGTGAACGAGAAGAAGCTGGCGCCTGGCCGGCACGTGGAGCGAAACGTCGGACCTCGTTGCCAAACCTTAAACGCGTCGAGGCGGGGGGTGGGGAGGAGCTGTACGGTGGAACAAGATGGGGACCCCCCCCCCCGCCTTTACCTCCCTCATCCCCTTCACCTGCAGAGCTTTCTCAATGCCCCAGCGTGAAAGTGCAGTGAGGGCAGCTGCCGATTTTATCTCGACCGGTCTGCCTGCCTTTTTTTTCAAAGCTTTTCAGCCGTGGTTGAAAGTGTTTACACAGCAGCAGCAGCAAAAACACAATGTCAACTTGTAACGATATTGCCACACGGCACAGGATTTGCTCGCTCTCAACGAGAAAGCGTCCACAGACAGCAGTCACGCGATGGGCCGGCACCAACAACTGCCCAAGCTCTGCAGTCCTCTACATTAAGGTGTTTCCAAGTCCACTTAATCAGTGTTTGCATTCAGGAAGCCGGATTTAAAAAAAAAAACTACCCCATAGAGGGAACGGGTGAGGTCCACGTTTTTACGATAACCGCATTCTCCTTACAGAGCCAGGGTACAACTCCTCCTCGACCCACGTGGAAAGGGAGTTTCACAACACTCGCACGCTCCACCAACCCTCGCTGCTGCCTGCACGGTGCCGCATTTCATCCAAGCGTCGCCACGGTTCGCCCCGTCCTCGACGAGGGTGGCGGCGATGCACGCCAACTCGTGAAGAGGATTCGGTGTGGCGTTTGCTATGCGGGACCCATCAAACGGCGAATTGTGGACCCCACACATTCATCCTTCAAGGTTGCCCAAAACCTTGGTGCAACCACAACCCAGAGCAACAATTACCCGGCGGCCGTGGCTTTGCCTCCGCCGCTTTGCCCCGTCGACTCCGCGCTTGCCCATTCAGTTCAGAACTTTCTCATACGCGCGTTGCCGCAAAGCGCTGCGGTCTGTTCTTAACTGGCAGTGAATGTCGGGCACGCCGCAGAGGGTTTGTCAATGTGCTTTTATTTATAAGTTATTAAAACACAACATTATGGGCAACAGCCTGGACACGAACGCGTGACAGACACGGGGGGGCCCACATGACCTTCGATGCTGCCCTCCTTGACCCGACTCCAGAGCGGAGAGACGGGTTCGAATTTTTCAGGGCGGAATAGGGTAAGGGACTCAGATGTTCGTACGTGCGGAAGGAGAGAGATGGGTGTGGAATCGGGGAGGTGGACCAGATGAGACGCACGCAGGATCAACGAGGGCAGGTGACCGAGACGGGCACTGGAGTGGCACCCATAGGGTACCAACCAAGGTGAAGAGAAGACCTAAAGCCAGACACTGGTCCATAATACAGGTTTTTTTTGGGGGGTTAGATCGCAAAAATGTCGTTAAAACTCGCCACCACCCGACACAGCCAATTAGCAAGTCTTGTCACGGAAACAGAACGTGCCAATTCGTTACGAGTACAGCGCACTGGTTGTGTGTTGGAGAGCCAAGCCATATTTGCCAATCAGACGTTTCGCCAGTAATTACAACTAGCGTCATCACCAGACTCTACGAGCACTCCTTGAAGGACGTGCCAACTATAACTCCCCAAAAAAACCTAAACCCAGTTTGTTCGACACTTTATTAGACTTGCAGGGGGGAGGACATACGACAATTCTACAACAGCTGCAGGATCTTCGAGAAGGAAGCAACGCCATTGATTTGACCCTTTGACCCTGACAACAGAAGGGCGTCTGCAGCGAGGAAGGTGAAATCCTATCTCCCCCCCGCCCCCATCTCATTCGCTCTACACCCAGCTGGGGGTGGGGCACAACTCCACTACAGCTGGCGAAAGGGGAATGGGGCAAAAAGGGCCAAGCCATCGCTTCCTTCTGCCAGACCGTGCTTCCAACATTGCTAGACTCCCACAGAGGCCCACAGATTCACGAAGGCCTCGCTACAGCGACATTCTGGGCCCGAGGACATTGTGCAGATGTACGAGCGATCCCCGACATGCGTCCAGGGATCCTGTAACCGTGTACGGGGGGGGGGGGGGTTTGTAACGCTCGCTCGACTCCCAGACCGTCTCGGGCCACCCATGATGGCATCGGCTCCTGCCAGGCGCTAGGGGTGCGTGTGGTGTTGCAGCAGAGGCTCGGAAGAGGCGGCGGCGGTTTGGGGTGGGTCGGATGTGTGTGGGGGGGGGGGAGGCCTCCGTCAAGCATACGCATGTTGAACTTTAAACGTCGCACTCGCATCGTAAATGTTGTGTATTTGCTCACCAACACACCGACGTTGCTGTACTAGTAACGGATCGGCACGTTCTGTTTACGTGACACAACCTTCACTGCTACGCACGTTGAACCTCTGCCGCGCCGTTAACGCAGCCGGAGGCTGCGGGCGAAGGACAACAAATAAACGCACGGATAAAAAAATAAACATCGAGCCCGTGGATCGACCACATCCCCCGACGACGGCGATGAGACATTTGAGTTTTTCCCGTGACATCTGTCGAGGGCTGTCGCAGGGGTCCATCTCGCAACGTTGTCGGAGGATCGTCGTGGCAACATTTCCCGCTTTCGGGAAGTTGCCAACGCCGGGCGCCAGATGTCACCGCGGGCGATGGGGGGGGGAGGGGGCGGGAAGAGCGGCAGGGGTCGGCTTGCGAAGCCTCAGCAGCCCACCCAGGGGTCGAGGCCGCTCTTGCGGGACACGAAGGCGAGGCGGCGCGCCATGTCCGTGTCGTAGATGCGCTTGCAAGCCTCGAAGCTCTTGCGCTGGCGTTGGCGGCACGGCTTCTCGAAGTAGCGGCGCCGCCGAGCGTCCTCCAGCACCCGGTCGTGCGTCAGGATCCTGCGGTGGCGACACGGGACCCACGGCACGGGATTAAGGGGAGGGGGGGGTAGGAGATTGGGGGGGGGGGGGTTCAGGGAGTCTGGGATCATCGGGGCAGGGGTAGGGAAGCTGTTCCATCTCGTGGGCCGTATATGGGACTTTACACCCCCATTGGCGAGCCACCGTACGTGGACACGAGCGTGAAGACAGAGACGGACCCCCACAGGGGCCCACAGACTTACAGAGACCCAGTGACTCTCACAGAGACCGACAGACCCAGAGACCCATAGACTCACAAAGGGACCCACAGACTCGCACAGAGACCCACAGACACACAGAGACCCACAGACTTACACAGAGACCCACAGACTCGCACAGAGACCCACAGACTCGCACAGAGACCCACAGACTCACACAGAGACCCATAGACACACACAGGGATCCATAGACTCACAGAGAGACCGACAGACCCAGAGACCCATAGACTCACAAAGGGACCCACAGACACAAAGACCCACAGACTTACACAGAGACCCATAGACTCGCACAGAGACCCATAGACTCACAAAGACCCACAGACTTACACAGAGACCCATAGACTTACGCAGAGACCCACAGACACACAGAGACCCACAGACTTAAACAGAGACCCATAGACTCGCACAGAGACCCATAGACTCGCACAGAGACCCATAGACTCTCACAGAGACCCATAGACTCTCACAGAGACCCACAGACACACAGAGACCGACAGACTTGCACTGAGGCCCATAGACTCGCACAGAGATCCACACGTACAGGGACCCATAGACTCAAACAGGGACCTACAGGGACCCACAGATCCCACCGAGAGGCTTCCGCAAACTCACACTGAGATCCATAGACTCACACAGACCACCATAGACACAGGGACCCATAGACTTACACAGAGACCCACAGACTCACACAGGGATCCATAGACTCACACAGAGACCCACAGACTCACACAGAGACCCATAGACTCACATATACCCCCATAGACACAGGGACCCATAGACTTACACAGAGACCCATAGACTCAAGGACCCACAGACTCACAGAGACCCACAGACTCACACAGAGACCCACAGACTCACACAGAGACCCACAGACATACACAGAGACCGCACAAACTCACACAGAACCCGCACGGACTCACACAGAGACCCATAGACTCACACATACCTCCATAGACACAGGGACCCATAGACTTACACAGAGGCCCACAGACTCACACAGATACCCACAGACTCACACAGAGACCCACAGACTCAGAGACCCAAAGACTCACACAGAACCCGCACGGACTCACACAGAGACCCATAGACTCACACATACCCCCATAGACACAGGGACCCATAGACTTACACAGAGGCCCACAGACTCACACAGAGACCCACAGACTCACACAGAGACTCACACAGAGACCCACAGAATCACACAGAGACCCACAGACTCACACAGAGACCCATCGACTCAAGGGCCCACAGACTCACACAGAGACCCACAGACTCACACAGAGCCCCACAGACTCACACAGAGACCCACAGACTCACACAGAGACCCACAGACTCACACAGAGACCCACAGACTCACACAGAGACCCACAGACTCGCACAGAGATCCACAGACTCGCACAGAGACCGACAGACTCACAGAGACTCATAGACACACACAGGGATCCATAGACTCACACAGAGACCCACAGACACACAGAGACCCACAGACTTAAACAGAGACCCATAGACTCGCACAGAGACCCATAGACTCGCACAGAGACCCATAGACTCTCACAGAGACCCATAGACTCTCACAGAGACCCACAGACACACAGAGACCGACAGACTTACACTGAGGCTCAGACTCGCACAGAGATCCACACGTACAGGGACCCATAGACTCAAACAGGGACCTACAGGGACCCACAGATCCCACCGAGAGGCTTCCGCAAACTCGCACTGAGATCCATAGACTCACACAGACCACCATAGACACAGGGACCCATAGACTTACACAGAGACCCACAGACTCACACAGGGATCCATAGACTCACACAGAGACCCACAGACTCACACAGAGACCCATAGACTCACATATACCCCCATAGACACAGGGACCCATAGACTTACACAGAGACCCATAGACTCAAGGACCCACAGACTCACAGAGACCCACAGACTCACACAGAGACCCACAGACTCACACAGAGACCCACAGACATACACAGAGACCGCACAAACTCACACAGAACCCGCACGGACTCACACAGAGACCCATAGACTCACACATACCCCCATAGACACAGGGACCCATAGACTTACACAGAGGCCCACAGACTCACACAGATACCCACAGACTCACACAGAGACCCACAGACTCAGAGACCCAAAGACTCACACAGAACCCGCACGGACTCACACAGAGACCCATAGACTCACACATACCCCCATAGACACAGGGACCCATAGACTTACACAGAGGCCCACAGACTCACACAGAGACCCACAGACTCACACAGAGACTCACACAGAGACCCACAGAAACACACAGAGACCCACAGACTCACACAGAGACCCACTCGACTCAAGGGCCCACAGACTCACACAGAGACCCACAGACTCACACAGAGCCCCACAGGACTCACACAGAGACCCACAGACTCACACAGAGGACCCACAGACTCACACAGAGACCCACAGACTCACACAGAGACCCACAGGACTCGCACAGAGATCCACAGACTCGCACAGAGACCGACAGACTCACAGAGACTCATAGACACACACAGGGATCCATAGACTCACACAGAGACCCACAGACACACAGAGACCCACAGACTTAAACAGAGACCCATAGACTCGCACAGAGACCCATAGACTCGCACAGAGACCCATAGACTCTCACAGAGACCATAGACTCTCACAGAGACCCACAGACACACAGAGACCGACAGACTTACACTGAGGCCCATAGACTCGCACAGAGATCCACACGTACAGGGACCCATAGACTCAAACAGGGACCTACAGGGACCCACAGATCCCACCGAGAGGCTTCCGCAAACTCGCACTGAGATCCATAGACTCACACAGACCACCATAGACACAGGGACCCATAGACTTACACAGAGACCCACAGACTCACACAGAGACCCATAGACTCACATATACCCCCATAGACACAGGGACCCATAGACTTACACAGAGACCCATAGACTCAAGGACCCACAGACTCACAGAGACCCACAGACTCACACAGAGACCCACAGACTCACACAGAGACCCACAGACATACACAGAGACCGCACAAAACTCACACAGAACACGCACGGACTCACACAGAGACCCATAGACTCACACATACCCCCATAGACACAGGGACCCATAGACTTACACAGAGGCCCACAGACTCACACAGATACCCACAGACTCACACAGAGACCCACAGACTCAGAGACCCAAAGACTCACACAGAACCCGCACGGACTCACACAGAGACCCATAGACTCACACATACTCCCATAGACACAGGGACCCATAGACTTACACAGAGGCCCACAGACTCACACAGAGACCCACAGACTCACACAGAGACCCACAGACTCAGAGACCCAAAGACTCACACAGAGACCCACAGAATCACACAGAGACCCACAGACTCACACAGAGACCCATCGACTCAAGGGCCCACAGACTCACACAGAGACCCACAGACTCACACAGAGCCCCACAGACTCACACAGAGACCCACAGACTCACACAGAGACCCACAGACTCACACAGAGAACCCACAGACTCACACAGAGACCCACAGACTCGCACAGAGATCCACAGACTCGCACAGAGACCGACAGACTCACAGAGACTCATAGACACACACAGGGATCCATAGACTCACACAGAGACCCACAGACACACAGAGACCGACAGACTTACACTGAGGCCCTTAGACTCGCACAGAGATCCACACGTACAGGGACCCATAGACTAAACAGGGAACCTACAGGGACCCACAGATCCCACCGAGAGGCTCCCGCAAACTCGCACTGAGATCCATAGACTCACACAGACCACCATAGTAACAGGGACCCATAGACTTACACAGAGACCCACAGACTCACACAGGGATCCATAGACTCACACAGAGACCCACAGACTCACACAGAGACCCATAGACTCACACATACCCCCATAGATACAGGGACCCATAGACTTACACAGAGACCCATAGACTCAAGGACCCACAGACTCACAGAGACCCACAGACTCAGAGACCCAAATACTCACACAGAGACCCACAGACTCACACAGAGACCCATCGACTCAAGGGTCCACAGACTCACACAGAGACCCACAGACTCACACAGAGACCCACAGACTCATACAGAGACCCACAGACATACACAGAGACCGCACAAACTCACACAGAACCCGCACGGACTCACACAGAGACCATAGACTCACCACATACCCCCAGAGACACAGGGACCCATAGACTTACACAGAGGCGCACAGACTCACACAGAGACCCACAGACTCACACAGAGACCCACAGACTCAGAGACCCAAAGACTCACACAGAGACCCACAGACTCACACAGAGACCCACAGACTCACACAGAGACCCACAGACTCACACAGAGACCCATCGACTCAAGGGCCCACAGACTCACACAGAGACCCACAGACTCACACAGAGACCCACAGACTCACACAGAGACCCACAGACTCACACAGAGACCCACAGACTCACACAGAGACCCACAGACTAACACAGAGACCCACAGACTCGCACAGAGATCCAGAGACTTGCACAGAAACCCACAGACTCGCACAGAGATCCACAGACTCACACAGAGACCGACAGACCCAGAGACCCATAGGACTCACAAAGGGACCCACAGACTCGCACAGATACCCACAGACACACAAAGACCCACAGACTTACACAGAGACCCATAGTCTCGCACAGAGACCCATAGACTCACAGAGACCCACAGA